TATTACATGTTTTAGCATGCTTTAAGAAAAATGTCACCATGTTTTAGAGGCAGTCTAAGCTACTAATGCATGTTCCAAACTGATATCAACACCTGAGTTAAAACGTTACATTTTTTTAAGTACTCCCTGTGATTTGGGTTGATGGTGATAACTAGAGTGTATGCTTCCCAATAAATATCATTGCGTTTTGGTTTTGGTGTGTGTTTGGGTGTGGGTTTTGTGTTTTGTTTTTGGTTTTGTTTTTTTTTTTGCTTGCTAGTGCAAATTTTCCTGATACATTGAAAAATCTCTACAGGTTATCATGTATGATATGATTTCCTGTATAGATTTCCTATATTGATGATGAAATTTCATCTCACATACTCTGGGCATGTTGCTAGGAGAGGAATACTCCTCAGAGAGGGACATCGTGTTTGGGAAGGTAGAGGGATGGCGAAGGAAGGGAAGACCTTCACCAGGTAGATTGACAGTGAATGCAGTAATGGGCTTGAGGGTGACAGAGACTGTGAGGATGGTACAAGATAGGACAGAGTTCAGATCTGTTGTTCACAGGGTTACTATGAGTTGTACTCCGCTAGACTGGACAGCACACAACAACAACAAATAGAGTTTTATGTTTTAAAACTCCTATTCAGAGATTTGAAAGGCTGGAATACAAAAGGGCTTATGAAGAAATGTCGATGCTGTAGATAGATGTTTGTTAGAGCCACCTGTGACTTTCAGACTGTTGCTTTGTTTCTCTCTGATTCTGTTGTCTTGTTCCTCCAGTTTTGTGTATTACTTCTCTGTTGTTTGTCATTAAAGCATTAGACTCAATCAAGCCAAGTTAAAATAATGATTACACAAGTACCTTCTGCTCCCAAAGGTATATTTGAAAGAAATGAGTATGTGAAAGGTGGGGAATTGCTATTTACTTTAGCTCTTGAAAGCAGCCTTGGTGGCATAGCGCAGAGTGTGTGGGTCTGATAAACAAACGCTTGGCAGTGGATCTTCAAGTCATTCTACAGGGGAAAGGTGTGGCAATCTCTTCCCGTTAAGATTTACAGCATTGGAAAGCCGATGGAAGGAGGTCATGGTGAATTGAATTTGACATCACGAAAGTGGGTAGAAATCTTGAAACTCAAAAAGTGGTAATGTCTAATACAAGAGGTTTGCATATAAATGTCACTTGCTGCTATGACTTAGAAACTAAAGGAAACTCTTCTTACATCCAAAAGTGGCTGGTCACGTAGTCTGCCTTTCTCCAGCCATCTCATCTTAGCACTATGAAAGCACCAATGGGCTATTTCATCCAGGTCTTTTAGTGAAATATGACGTTCTTCTATTGGAATATATGTTCTGACAATTTGAATTGTTCATGTATTATTTAATATTCATTAGCTCATCTGCTTATATAGCCCAAATTGTGATTAATTTATGAAGTGAGAAGTCATTCATAAACATACCTTATTGTTAGCAGTTCATTAAGAGTTTGTTTGTTTTTCTCCTACAGAAAAACTTCCCAAAGGAACTAAATCAGTGCCTGTCTTTAGAGGATCTTAACTCACTTATGACTTTCTTAAAGGAACTTGGGAGTCTGGGACAATTCCAACTGGTAAAATAAAGATGACATTTGATTACTCTTGATTATGAAATTGCAATATATTAGCCATAAACTACTTATGTTTGACTTTAAACTAGTTAATAGTATTTTTTTAAGAAATAAAAATGTAGCAAAAAAAAGAAATAGAAATTTGTATAAACATGATCTTTTTCAGGTATCTAAATATTTAAATTAGAATCTATATGCTTTACATTAAAATAGTATGAAAATTATACATACCCTACCAGTATAGCTACCAGCTTTTGACAGTTCTCAAAAGAAATATTAATATTTCTCTCAAGAAATTTTGTTTCTATCCTTGGACCACTTACTCTGTATTTAAAATTTATTTCTGATTATTTCTCTTTACATTTGTATAGATCCATTTCAACTGTATATTGAAAGAATACTTTGAGAAAATAACTTAAGTTCTACTTTGTCTCACTGCAATTTAAGATTCAATTTGTCTAAGGCAAGCTTTAAAATGAGGAATTAAAAATCATTTTACCCAGCTAGTTTCAGCCTGCAAAAAATGTAATACACTCAGTATGTTTTCTGTGTATTTTGTTGGATTCTGTTCCTCTATTGGTTCATATCGAAGGTCGATTTATCATATAAAAATGTGCATGCTCAGAAATTGCATTGTTTCTAATTCTGCCAATTATTTAGGTTTCTATTTTCCCCTAAAGTTTGTTGATGCAAAACTTTCTAAAATAGCATTTTAAAATTCATTGTTAAACTGATAGCTATTTCAAGATTTTTTTTTTTGCTTAGTTTTTAAAAATCTACATATTCAGGGAGCTCTGGTGGTCTGGAGGCAAGAAGCTGCACTGCAATCCCAGAGGCATGCAGTTGGAATCTATCAGATGCTCTGCTGGAGAAGGAGGGGCAATCTCCTCCTGTACCAGTGGGACAGATTTGACGGGACACACACACACACAAAATGATATAATTTTTTTTTAAAAAGACATAAAACAATCTACATATTTGTATGAGTTGTAAGAGCCGAGCCCTGAGTAAAGCAGTTAGGTAACTCTAGCCAAAAAGCCAGCAGTTCCAACCCACTAGCCAGTCTATGGATGGAAATAAAGCAGTCTTCTTCTGTGAAAGCACAGCCTCAGAAACCTTAGGGGTCATTGTACAGGGATGCTACAAATTAGAACTGATTCAGTGACAGTAAGCTAGGGGTTTTTGATTAATTGTAAATTATTCACTCATTTAATAAAGAAATATATTTGGGTTTGTAGTTTAGCCCTATATTTTGGCTAATTCAATCAAAGTGTATTGCCTCAAAGTATTTAATTTACCTATTAAAATTTAATGAACTTAAGTATGTTAAGTATTACAGTCAAGAAAACTTGGCTCAATACTTTACAGAGAGAATCAGCGAGGCCTGACTTCACCCCTTGGGAGTTTATAACTTTAAACATCTAAATATAGCCATTTCTGACCATGTTGTAAGGAAGAATTAAAGAAACACTTTGCAGAATAAAAGGACAAACCTCCAGTCAGTGGAGAAGACAGTCATAGTTGGGTTGGGTTTGGTAAGATTAATAGTTTTCACCCTGACACAATTCACTTGTCTGTAAGGGGGGTTCCTCATCATTTAGACTCACATTCTGGTCACCTAGCTCTTGTTAGTATCATTAGCAGGAAGAGGATCTCTGGGTAGCACAGACAGTTACATATTTGATGTTTTCAGCTGCTAACTGAGCTACAGGAGATTGGAGTCTACCAAGCAGTGCCTGTGCAGAAAGGCCTGGTGATCTGCTTTGGTGGGGTTGGGGGGAATCTGCTATTGAAAACCTGGTGATGCACAATTCTACTGACAGAGTCACACTATGGTCTGAAATCAACTGGTGCCAGTTGGCATAGCAGGAAGAAGAAATCTCTTAGTATTAAATGACAAAAAATGAAAATCTGCTCTATTTGGAAATAGGATCTTCAATGAAATTCATCCTCAAATGACTTTAAAGTGCTATTTTCTTTGACAAGAATTACACAGATTATTACATTCCGATGTTGACCAATGGATTTTTAATAACTATATACAATTTTTTAAAATCTGTATAAATATATTTCCTAGGATTTCTATTTATAATGCTACTTTTTATTTCATTTTTATGATTTGTTCTGATATTCTGTCTTTGAATATTCCTTCTCAGCTCTTCCCATCTACCACTCCTGGGATTCAATCTTTGATGCATGAGTTTTATGATATGGAAAATCCTACAGGGAAGCCTGGCTCAGTCCTGACCCAGTACTGGTCTCTTTTAACTGTATTTGAACAATTTCAGCTCATGAATAAAAAGGCACAGCTACACCGACTGGAATGGTAAGATAGCCACAATTTGAGTTGTGCAGTCCAAAAAGTTTCTAGCTTAAAGATTGATTTCAAAAAGCTTTGCCTACATTAAAGAAAGCAACAGAAGGATGTTTGTCCAAAAATTCATTCTCTGGAAAACAAGATCCTTTAAACATTAAAACCATAATGATTCTAGTGGTCTTCCAACACTGCAACAAAAATATATCCAACAGTTGGTCAAACCAACAAAGACCTAACTCCTCAGTAAACTCATGTTGAAAATTAAAAGTTTCATCTGATGATATATAGCCTTGAATGCAGGCACGTCAGATGGAATTAGATGAGATTTGTTTTATGAACAAATCAGTGTGGAGCCTGAGAGGCCAAGTGTTATTAAATTCAAGTGTTTGGAGACATGGCTTTTTTTTTTTTGGAGAAACGTATCCAAATTTATATATTTGTTCTGTTGATGGTACAAGATTAGAACTTGATTATAAAGTAGGATCTCCAAGGGGAACATTGGCCTGAGAGAAAAAGGTTTTGGCCTTCCATCTTTATTCCCGCTGTAATGAAAAGTAATAACTGAGAACTTAGTAGAATGGTGAGGAGGGAGAGAGACTTACTAACCCCTCCAGAAGTTGGTGAGAAGGGGCAGGACCTATGATGGTGTCTGCCTCCCTGTATTAGACTTGACTTGTGAGAGGGAGCTCTGATGACTTTGTGGAAAGGAGTGGCGATGCCAGCCTAAAGGTATGATGTCAAACCCATCAGCTTCTCTTCAGGAGAAAGATGGACCATCTTCTGTGCAATTTACTGCCTCTAAAAACACACTGGAGGCTTAGCTATGAGTCAGTTCCTATTGGATAGTACCCAACAACAACACTATGATATAGAAGTAAACCTAAACTTTCTTACTCTTACTCACTGCTATTGAGGAAATTCCAACTCAAAAAAGTCAACCCCCTTCAAGGACTCCAGGCTATAAATCTTAATAGGAAGAGGTGGTCCTCCTTTAGACCTCCTAACAAGACAAAAGAGCTAAAAGAGATGCCATGACCATTCATTTCTCCTGCAGTTACCCTGCACAAGACCTTTTTTCTCAGCTGATTTGAGACTATTGTTATTAGTGGCTGCCCACAGATCGACAGATGGTGGCTTCACATGGGGAAGAAACTTCTGGGAGTAAATTCCAGAAATTTCTCATCCATAGAGCAAGAGAATTCTACCATTGAACCATCACTGTCTCCAGTAATTGAATTTTTTGGTTAATTTATTATGTCTCAAAAGATGGCAAGAAAAAAAATGATGGCAAGAATAGTTCTACAACAATGAAAGTTTTTAATTTTGTGTCTCTTAGACTAAGTTCGCTAAAGAAGCAAACAGTGAAGTATATGTGTGTATATAATAATATGTATATGTAATATATTACATAATATATTGTTATTGTGTACCATAGAGTCAGAACTGACCCATAGCTGACCCTTCAGTGAGTTTTCAGAAGCAGTTAATCACAAAGAGATTGCCCATCTTTCCCCAATGGGTTAGCTGATGGCCTCAAACCCCATTGTCTTCGGGATTGCAGTGCAGCTTCTTGAGATTATATATATATATATATATAAATGTTAGCTTATGAATCAGAATCTATAATATGAATGTTAATATACTCATATTAACACTATTAATATACTCATATTAATACTATTAATATACTCATATTAATACCATTGATACTCCTAGATATTTACTATTACTATTACTATTAATATTACTATTAATATTAATATCTCATTCACTATAGAGGTTGGCATATCTCAAGTCTGTAGGTCCAAAGTCAGGATAGAGGCTTCTCCTGACCTCATGTAACTACTGGTCAGATGGCAGGTTACTGGTTTCAGAGGCTGAAGACTCCAAGATCTGCAGGCAATATGCAGACTGCTGACTCAAAAACAAAAGAATTTGATATGAGACAGTGACTACCCAGTGGCAGGATCCCCATTAAGCCAAAAGCAAGAGACCTTTTCCTGGTGGCTATAAATATTCACTGCAGGCCATACCCCTCAAGGAAATTTCTTTCAAGTCATTGACTGACTACTCAGAGCTTATCTTGCCACAAAAGTGATTAAATCCTTAATATATAATGCAGCCGAGAATCATGGGTAGCTAAATTGGCACACAATCTTAACCATCACACTATCTAATTTAAAACATACTCAAATATTTGGTGAATTCTTAGCGCTTCTCTCATGATTGCAACTGGCTTTAATCACAACTGTATGAAACTGTTCTTTTGGTAGTAGGCCTTAAATATCTTGTTTGTTTGACAGTTAGATTTTAAATAATATACGTCAAAGCCACTTCATAGTCTGGATATATAAATATCCAAGAATGTGTAATTCGTCATTAGGAATGGATGTATTGCAGAGTAGATGGATCAAGTAGTCTATTTATGTACTGATTTTTAACTTTGAGTAAGTCTCCTTGAGATATGTCATCTTTGCAGAGTTTGTCCCCCAGCAAGTTTTTTCTTAGGTCTACTTCTGTAGAAATAAAGCTGCATATGTACTTTGCACATATACTTTCTGTGAAAATTCACATCTTCCTACAAATAATGTAAGAAATCACTGCAGGAGATGATTTTATAGACAGTATCTTATTCTATTAAGAAATTACTTTTCCCAAAAGTCAGCTTGTATGTATCTCAGAGGTGTATCTGATTTTGAGCTTCACCTAGAGTTTATGTTTCATATAAATTTAGAATATTTTTTTTTATTTTAAATATTTGTCTGGCACCTGGTCAGACGTTAACTAAACCTGTCTTACTCCATGTTTTTTCCTACATCTTCATTCCTTGGGAGGAAGAAATGATTATAAGGTAAGTCCTAGACATCATTGCTTCTCAACCATAATTTCTTCATTGTGTTTACCTAAGAATATAAGCTTTTCTAAATAAAATGGAAAATCTCATACTTTTCCTGAGCATTTAAAAAATGTTAAGAAAAAGTATATATAAACATTTACCATTTCTGCACTTTTCAAATGCAAAATTCAATGACGTTTCTTATGTTGACTTACACTGAAGAACACACAAATCTATATTGAAGAGAGGATGTGAGACCGTCTCATTTAGTTTGGACATGTTATCAAGAACGATCAGTACATCACACTTGGTAAAATAGAGTCAGTGAAAAAGCCAGAGACCCTCAACAAGATAGATGGACACTAGTTATAACAATGGATACAAATGTAGCAATTGTGGGAATGTGGCTGGAAGTGGCACTGTTTTTCTCTGTTTACATAAGGTTCTGTTTACAGAAGCTGGAGTGGACTCAGGGCACCTAACAACACCAATCATGTTCATTATATTATGTAACTACTACCACTTACCACTTACAAATTTTTCTATCACCCTTAACAAAACCCCAGTGTTCCCTGCACTGTTTTTAATCCCAGATTTTTTTCTTGGTTTCCTATCAGTGTTTATATTTTGAAGAAATGGAACTGAATGCATCTCTTGTTTACCACAGTCCCCCACACCATCAGGGAAAAGACATAGTTATAAAACACAATTTAACACAGAGCATTTGATTTCATTCTCTTAGCTTGCCTGTAGAGTAGGGCAAGTATCATGATCTCCACCCTGCTTGTAGGGAAATGGAGATTCTCAACAGCCTTGAAAAGTCCCATTAAAAACCAGCAGCCAATCCTGCCAGTATTTTCTATCATCAAGGCCAGTAATATTTCCATCCGCAATTTACATGACTTTAGCCTCAAATTTGAAACTTTGAAGGGTGATGTGGCCAAGCATTTAGTTAATCATACAACAGGGGAAGAATGAGGCAAACACACTAAGATAGAATGAGCCTGCCCTTTCACTACTGTTCACCAGAGCTCAGGAGTGGAAGGCTTGGCAAACCAAGGCTGGTTTCTGCATGGTACACTGAGATTTCTCAGATTATATGTATGTCCTTCTCAGGCTGTGCCTCAGAGTTTCCAAAACTTCTTGCTTCAATGCTATGTAACTTTAGCCAGAGTCCAGTAAGAATGTGTGTTCCTGAATCTGTTCTGTGGGTATCAGGGTATCAGAGATTGCTTCGTTTTGGACAGAAGAATGACATTTGTGCCCTGCTTTCCTTCAAAAGTGCTTCTGCTGATTAGAGATGATGAGATTCCCACCCACCTCCTTGAGATGAGCTTGCCAGTTCTGAGGAAGAAACACAGAAAGAGTTTCTTTGTGTTCATCCAAATCACTGAGCCCACACAGTGGAAAAACACAAGATAGAGTGTTAGATGTGATTTCACTGAATTTGGCATTTCATTGATCTGGAATTGCTTGGCTCTGTGTTTGCAGGAATTCTTTCGTAGAGGATGAGAACACTGGGGAATCTCAAGTGCCATTTGATGCCATTGAAAAGAACAAAGGTGACTTTTTCTTTTTACTTTTCGAAGAGAAGAAGGAACTGAGGGTGAGGAGGGGTGCGCAAGGAGAAAAGTGCAACAATGAATGAATGGAAATCCAAA